TCCCAACGTCCTCCTCCGCCCACTCCACCACACCACCACTCAAACAGGGTTTTGGGGTTCAGGTGCACTACTGAGCTACGGGGAGAATCATCCATCTCCGTGGCTGGTGGGGTCCTGGGCCCTAATTTTAATATACAACCTAGACACTCACTTATAACACTCTCACGACACATGCATATATAGGATCTGGAGTGGGCACATGATCGCACTTAGGTGGTGGGATGTACTACCATTTCCACCTCCCCGGACCTGTGCCCACTCTCATATGTAGCATGTAGACATTTAGGGTTCTGTGCGGAGATGAGGGGTGAACGGGCGCCGCCTGCTCTCTGGGCAAGAGGTGGGTCTGTGCCGGTCGCCACCTCATCCCCCCATTTTAAACGCACTGTATAACAACATGCATCAACACCATATTCGAGTGGGAGGAGGAGGAAGTGGGTCTGTTCATAATTTATTTATGCATATATAGATTTATTTATTTATTTTATTTTATTTTTTATTTTTTTTATTTTTATTTTTTCCCCTTTCACAAACACCTCCTTTCTCCGTGTGACACTAGGGGTCGGGGATGGAGGGGGGGGGGGGCGCATTGTTGGGGTCTGGGCTGTGGGTGGGCTTTGGGCCTTGGGGGCGGTCAGTGTTGGGGCCGGTGCTTCGGTTCCTCCTGGGCTGTTCCGATTCTTTTAATCTAGGTTCCTGGTTGCGATGGCCGGCGCTCTGACCAGGGTGGCTACCGGCTTTTGGCGGGGGGTCGGCTATGGTAGTGTACCTGTGGTCATTGGTGGTGTAGGGCGGCGGTTGGGGGCGTGGCTTCGCCTCATCCGGGCACTGGCTGGTCTTCCTGTGTGGCATTTGCGGTGGGGGTGCTCTGTGTGTGGGGGGGTGCATGGGTGGCGTGCTGGGGCGTCTCCGGGCCTATGGTGCGGAGCTCTTGATGTGAGAGCCGGCCCTCCTCGGCTGCGGCTCCCTGCTGCTCTGCCCCTTGGGCTGGGGCCGGCCTGTGGTCGCTGTCAGGTAGATGGTGCATGCGGTCGGCCCGACAGAGATTCTGTCGGGCTGTCTGTGTGTGCCTGTTGGTTGCTCGGGTTGGGTTTTTGGTGGTCCCCCCTCTCTTGGATCAATTTGGGCCCCACGTTTGGTGTGGGGTCCACTCCCCCCGGTCGTGCCCCCCTTTGGCGGGGGACTCCCTTGCCGCCGGTGCATTGGTGGCTCTCGGTGTCTGGGCTGGGTGGTGGGGTGCACGTCGGTCTGCCCTGGTTGCTGCCTGCGGGGCCTGGGTGCCCTGGCTCTGTCGGGGCTCTGCTAGGGGGTGGTATGGCCTCGGGGCTTGGGGCTCGGTGTCCATGGCCGGATCTACTTGGGGGGGGCATGGGTCGCTGGCCGGGCCTGTGGGCTCGTCGTTGCAGCTTCCTGGAGGCTCTGCATTGTGGTGGCTGGGGTCACCCGGTTCTTTCCTCTGCTCCTCTCTGGGGGGGTGCGGTTCTCCCTGTTGGGAGACTCTTGGGGCTCCGGGCCTGTGGGCCGCTGTGTGTCTGTGGCTCCGGTCCTCCCTATGTTGCCATTGTGTCCTGGGGGGGCGGGTCTGTGGGCCCCCGCGTCCACTATTGGGCATTCTTTTGGAGAAATCTGGTGGTGGTGGGCGTGCTTGCGCGGGTGTTTGGATTCAGGTGCTTTGACAGATGCACGCTAGGTTGGGTAGTGGCGGAAGCTAGATGATTCATTGTGCGATGTCGAATGTTTCATGGTGATATTGTGGGTGGCATTGTGCTGTGCATGTTGTTTTGTCATGGTGGTCTCTCGTCTTATCTTCTTCTTTTTTATTATTTATTTATTCTTCTTTCTTCTCTTTCTTTAAAAAAATAAAATAAAAAAAATAAAAAAAATAAAAAATTGAGCGATGATGATAAGTTCATTGAAACACTTCACAATGTTTCTACACTTAAACTGAGCTCACAAAAAAAAACAAAAAAAAAAAACAACTTAATTCAGTTCAGTTCAGTTCATTTCTGTAGCTCCAAGTCCCAACAGACGTCATCTCAGAGTACTGAACAAAAATAGTAAATGGACTACACTTATATAGCACTTTTCTGTCTTATCAAGAAACTCAAAGCACGTTACATTACAATCTGTGCCCTCATTACCCATTCATACAGCACTCTACTAGATCTCTACAAAGATTAATCAGTGCTTTATCACATTCATACACCGATGAGACACAGATCGGAGGCAATGAGGGGGTCAGTGTCTTGCCCAGGGACACTTCGGCATGTGACTGCCGGTGGAATCGAGCCCACAACTATTGTGTTGGAGGACGACTGCTCTAACCACTTAGCCACAGCCGCTAAACATTCAAATACATTATAAAAGCCAATTAGTAAAAGTTCTCAATCTAAGGAAGCAGCAGATTGTGTTGAATATTCACTTCTTCTTAGTCTACCATCCTGATCAAGCACAAAGGAGACAGTGGAAAGGAAAAACTCCCTTTTAACAGGAAGAACTTTTACGTTATATTTTTGCCATTTCTGGGTGTAACTGGGACCTTGAGTACACAATTCCATTCCACCTCATGTACCACATGTGATGTGAATGACAATAAAAAGCATTGAACTTTGAAACCTCCAGCAGAACCAGGCTCAGGAGGAACGGCCGTCTGCTTCAACTGGCTGGGTTTGAGAGGACAGGGAGGAGAGACAAGCAAACAGAATGGCAGGTTCAGGTGAACTTTCTATAGGAGGAAAGACAAAAAACACATGCTAAGTATAGAAATAATTACAAACACAAAACAGGTAGATCAAGTAACGACAGCAGCAGAGTCAGGAAATGAAATATAGAAAACTATATAGAACTATATAGAACTATATAGAACTATATATACAGTATAGAAAACTATATCAAAAAGGAAGGACTGGAGCATAATCTTAAAAGTAGACGAGATGTCAATCTCATGGACAGAAACTGGAAGTTGGTTCCACAAGAGAAGAGCCTGATAACTGAAAGAACTTCTCCTATTCTGATTTTGGAAACTCTAGAAACCACAAATAAACCTGCAGTCTGAGAGCAAAGTGCTCTGTTAGGAAAATATGGAACAATAAGATCTCGAATACAAGATAGAGCCAGGTTGTTGAGAGCTTTGTAGGTTAGAAGTAATATTATGAATTCAATTCTAAATTTAACAGGGAGCCAATGGAGAGAAGCTAAAACTGGAGAAATATGATCTCTCCTACTTTCTCCAGTTAAGACTCTGGCAGCAGCATTTTGGATCAACTGAAGACGTTTTAAAGACGTATTTGGACATCCAGATAATAAACCATTACAATAGTCCAGTCTAGACATGACAAATGCATGGACCAGTTTTTCTGCATCATTTTTAGATAAGATGTTTCTAATATTAGCGATATTACACAGGTGAAAGAAGGCGGTTCTAGTAAAGTTTTTAATGTGGGGGATAAAAGACATGTCCTGATCAAAAATAACACCAAGATTTTTAAGAACTGAAGGCCAAGTTAATGTCATCCAGAGAAAGTGAAAGACTGAAAAATGTATTCCTAAGATGCTCAGGTCCAAAACCCAAAACCACAGTCTCGTCTGTGTTCAAAATCAGAAAATGCAGGGTCATCCAGGTTTTTATGTCTTTAAGACATACTTGTAGTCTAAGCAGCTGATTGGATTCATTGGGTTTCATAGACAAATATAATTGTGTATCATCAGCATAACAATTAAAATGTATCCAATGCTGTTGGAAACTTTACCTAATGAAAGCATATACTGTATAAGGTATTGTTCCAAGCACTGAGCCCTGAGGAACTCCATGACTAACTTTGGTGTATGATGAAGATTCATTATTTACATTTACAAATTGGAATCTATCAGATAGATATGATTTAAACCAACTTAGAGCCGTTCCTGTAATTTCAATATCATATTCAAGTCTCTGTAATATAACATTATGATCAACCGTATCAAATGCAGCACTGAGGTCTAACAGGACCAGTGTAGACACCTGCCCATTGTCTGAGGCCATGAGAATATCATTAGTAACTTTCACCAGTGCAGATTCAGTGCTGTGATGAGCTCTAAACCCTGATTGAAACTCTTCTGATTATTTTTTTTGTAGATGTTCACGCAACTGACCTGCAACTATTTTCTCTAGAATTTTGAGATGAAAGTTAGATTAGATATAGGTCTATAGTTGGTTAGGATTTCTGAGTCAAGTTTATGTTTCTTAAGTAAAGGTTTAATTACAGCAATCTTAAAGCTCTGTGGTACGTAATTGTTTATTAGAAACAAATTAAGCAGATCCAAGACATGGTTATTAATTAAGGGAAATATGTCTTTAAATAGTCTGGTTGGGATGGGGTCTAGCAGACATGGTTTGGATAAAACTATTGTTTTTGACAATTCAGAGAGCTCAACAGGACAGGCATTAATATGAGATTATTAATAATGCCATTTACAAGATTTGACCAAAACAGCTAAAACAT